AAGCTGGAAAAATAAAAATAAAATGAAAGGTGACATGTACCTGTCACAAAAGCTAATAAGAGATATTTTTGAGATATTTTGATCTCAATTATTCAAAGTAAAATGCCAAAGTTGTGCATAAAAATATCAACCATCCACGTCTTTAGGTTTTAGCATCTTTTTTTCCCCCAATCCATCTCATTCTCATTTAAAATAAAACAAAATAAAATTAAAATTAAAATTTATGTAAAGTACATATATAAAGGGAAAAACGAAGTATTGAAACCTCATGATCATTCAATCCACTTGCTAATCCTCCCCACCATCTTCATTTCTACTTGTCCTCCATCAATAAATATGCTTGACCTATTTCTAGGTCTTTTTTGTTCTCATCAATCATTTTAATACATTCCATTATGATGTTGATTTTAATGTTTAAAATATTCTTATTCCACTTAAAATAAATCATGATTTTGGGTGTAATACTATACATATGCTTATATGTTTCTTTTTACTTTGAATTTTAAGGTATTGTTTTGATAATTTTCTATACAAATTTATCTCCAATAATTATTATTTCATTCCCCTCAATACTGATATTTTGATATTTGATGGTTGACTAACAATATTTATCACTTCATATCGACAAATGGAAAGTAACTTAGATTTTTTGTTGGAATTTTTATTCTACAACTATTGATGATAGATGCACATAGATGACAATGAAATTTCATATCCAAATTCTTGTTGTGGGGTTCTTATATTGTATAATTGGATATCACCATTTACTTTGATCCACGAATGGAGAAGATGATACCACCATTTCCCTTTGGATATATGTCAATGTTATGAATAGGATATCATTTAGTTATATATAGTTTTCAATATTGGTTCAAATTTATCTTTTCAATTTGATTTATTTTAGATACATTTTAATACTTTGATCAAGATCTTTTGAAATTTATTGTGGTGATTTACTATTAATAGAGAATTACAACATAACTTAACTAGTTAAGATAAATGGTCGACTTTGTTGTCTTTTTTAAGGGCGAGGACACAATTAAATGAGTTTTTTTTAGTATTATATTAGTTCCAAAAGGGTGAATGGAAAAATGGTAATAAAATGGAATTTGGGAAATTTCTTCTTATCTGTGTTATGTCACGAAGCCCATTTGGCATGCTATCCAGCCCATGACTCGGTATTCTGTTTCCGCCATTACTTAGAACGATGTTCGGCCCATAACTCGATATGCTTCCGGCCCGTGAATTGGCATTCTGTTCGGCCCATTGCTTGAAATAATGTTCGGCCCATTACTTTTAATGGTTTGGCCCACTTGGCATGCTATTCGCTTGACACGGTGTTTGGCCTATGTATTGGCATGCCGTTCGGCCCATTGCTAATTGTTATTTATTTACAAAATTTAAATATTTTATCTAAATTATTCTATATTAGAGTTTCATTGGTTGGAGGGTTGATATAGACTGAATCCAATTGCTCGGATTGTATTTCTTCAACCAAAATTTTTTTTATTAGTTAATTAACTCAAATTAACCCAATAATTAAATATTTGAGTTTGATTGGTTAAAGTTACCGTCATTGTTTTATTCAACTTTTTTGCTTAGAAATATAGTAAAATATTACTCTTTTAAGATCTATTTACACAGAATGTCAATTTTAAAAATGGTTTTGTCTTAAAACTTAATAGGAAAGGAAATCATCTAAAAATATATTTAACGAAATTAAAAAAATAAATATATATATATATAAAGACGATTTTTTAATTGATATAATTCAGAAGCTAACCAAACTTATACAATTTGTCTCGATTTCAAGACGACTAATGTTAAATGAATCAATAGAACTAACTAAACTTATAAAATTTTAAATTTGTTCAAATCTTATCCAATTAAATCCAGACAAGTTTAAAACATAGTCATACCCAACTCAAGTAAGTTTATAACTCATCATATACGACTTGGATTGAGATTAGCTTACAAGTTGGTCTTATTAAGTATTTTGTTCTATATCATTTTAAGTCGATAAGAAGACAGAAACGTTAAAAGAAGGTAGGTAGTGTAATTAAAAAGAGGAAATAATATATATAAAATAAAGGAAATTTACAGGAGAGAGCCCATCATTTTATTTTTGTCATTACTTATTGTAGCATTCAATTTTATTTGTCAATTGGGAAAAAAATTCAATCGAACAGGAAAAAAGGCATAGTAATTTGATTGATTAGTATGACACGTTGACAAGTGTATTTTTTTCCTTAAAAATAACTTACACAATTTTTCATTTTTGAAATTAATTATTCACGTTTAAAGTAATTTTAATAAAATTTTAAAAGAGAGATCAAATTTTATCTAATTATTTATTTATTTATTTCGACTACCAATTATATGACACAATATATTATTAAAAAAATCATATTGAGACAATATGTTAAATAAAAATTACATTCTAACCGTGTACAAATATGTCCTAACACGTGGCATCCGTATTAGACTCAAAAGATGATGAGTTCGAATCTTCGTTCACGTTGTTCGAAAGAAAAGAGAAAGAATATCCTAAAAAATGTGAAAATTTTAATTTTCTCATTGGCCAATTCATAAGACCGTGGTGTCGTAAAATGGTCGGTAGACTTTGAAAAGTTTCATAGATAATATTCCTTTATGGGATATTTTAAACCAATTTTTAAATGCAAAAAAGTTCAAATTCTTGAATTTCAAGAAAAGTAAAAAACAAAAAATGGAAATGTTGGAGGAGGATGGAGACGCTGGTCGGGTCCGCCATCGCTATATTAAGCTCCAAGCTCCACTCACAATCAGCCATGGCTTCCATCTTCTTCTTCTTCCCTCACAAAATGGAACTCCCAAAGCTCTCTCT